ATAATGTATTTAACGTTTATAAATAATGATTTTTCATAAAAGTTTTAGAATCAATTCATCTCTGACAGTTGTTGAGACAAAGCTTCAGTCACATCCAGACTTCTGCAATGCTGTCTTTCCTAAAACCTTTGTAAATAAATAATTTGGTGACAATAACCTGAAATAACATGAAGCTTAATCCACTTTAGCCTCTCGTTCCTTTTAAATGTTGTTTATGGAACAGTTTCATTTCAGGGAGCGTGTGACAATATCTAAAATGAAAAGTGCTGATTGGTTCTGTCCAAATTATGAGCCATGTCTTTCTCTTTGAAAGCAGATTGTTGCATGTTGTGACAGTGGATTATTATATTGGACAACAAAACGCTGAGATTAAGCCCAAAATTCAGGAAAACCCCATGTGCTGCCAAACTGTCTCTGAAAAGAATATTATTATCATTCGACCATTTCTGAGGTCTGCAACATGAGGGATGGTGGTCTCTGGGACAATGACATGGAGCCGAAAGATTTATGAGGGGCATGAATTGCTTATTACAGTACCAAAAGTTACAAAAACATTATTAATTAATTATAGTAATGATATAATACATTATGAATTACTGTATATAATAATACCACCAGTCATTCAACATTTGTACTTGTTGGCAGTATTTTTATTTTTATTTATTAACATTTTATGCCTGACAGAAGGTACAACAGACTGATAACATTTTTCATTTTTATCAGTCAGGGCCAACATCAATGGAAAATTGACGATTGATTTTTGACCTTTTTGTCCTTTTTTGATGTGCTACAATCTTCACTAAACACTTTTTGATTATTGTTTCTTTTTCTGGGTTTAGCCTTTGCAAAGAAAACATGAGTGCAACTTTTACTGCAAGAAAACTATCATACTATTCAAATATAGTACAGTGACTCAGAAAGCCAATGTAATCAAAGAAAACACATTTAAAAAACCTCTACTAACATTTAACATTTAACTTTAAAAAGTCCACAAAATTTGCCGTGTACAAACATATTATTGATAACTCACTCAGATCACACAAACATATTGCAGCAGATAAAACACAGTGATGAGTGATTTTGTTAAAGGAGAAATATTATGCAATTACTGCTGTCAGACTGTACAATAAGTCACTTTAAGTCACTTGCACTAGGACTAAAAAACCTGAACTGTTTCTTTAATTGCCATCTTTCATTGTACATAATATATCCTGAACAGACTGTATTTTTTTGCCTTTAACATGTTTGCACACGTCTGTCTTTTGCACAAATCTTGAGTGATTCTATCCATGCCAAATGTAACATGTAAATTTCTCCTGTGTGAGATCAATAAAGTCTATCTTATCTTATCCTACTCCCACTGATGACTGCTGTCGTTGTGTCCTTGGGCAAGACACTTAACTCCACTTTGCCTGAAGCCCCCGCTGAAAGATCTCAGGTTCTGTGGACTCACCACCTGCAGGAGGATCAGTGAGGGGCTGGTGCTCTGTGTACTGGGTGCAGCTTTGACTGCCACCCCCCCCCCCGACCCAGAAATGGAATAAGGGGAAGAAAATAATTATCTTATTTTACTTTTTTGAGCTGGAGTTGACCTGGAGTTGTTTTTATATCAAGAACTTGTGAACTACAGAAGAAGTCCTGTACCACAATGGTGTGCCGTTTTAAAGTATTGCTCATAAATTAGTTTTGGCAATTTCTCAAGATAAATTACATCATGCAAAAGCACATGGGTGAGTGTATTTGCAGCCAGTCATTCTCGAATTGAAAAATAAAAATAAATAATAGAATAAATCAGCTCCTCCCTTTAGTGGGATCATAGGGAGTCACAGGTAGAAAACTATTCTCTTTTTTTTGCCCTTTATACTTGTTTCACCAAGTATTTTCCTCCTAAGTAAATGTATCACATCCTAAAACGTGTAGTGAGTAAATCGTCTCATTCTATTTTTAAATGGGCAGAAATCATATCAGAATAGTAATAGCAGAATAATCTTCTCTAATGCATGGAGACACTATTACATCTTCTGACTTTGAGAATGCAACCAGAATTTTATTTGTGCATGCCTTCTTGATTTTGTTTATGCTTTGACTTGTTTGCACTAAGAGCCAAAGCAATTTCTTAGTTTGTGACTTCTTGTTCTTCTTCTCACATGGCAATAAAAGGATTCTGATTCAGATTATATGTTCCCTGCGACTGGGCGTCTCACTGAAACTGAAGAACAAATCAACCTGAGCCTGAGCCTGAGCCTGAGCCTGAGCCTGAGCCTGAGCCTGAGCGACAGAGACGAAGGAGCAACGTTTTTTAGTAAAAAATGCAGTTTGATAGTAAAAGTGCCTAAAACCAAGTGAGATGCCCCAAACAGGTATATTACTGTTCCAAGCTTCAAGTAGATGTTTTGACTCAAAAGATGATCTACCAAAAGTTTGAGGAAACTATCAAAGGGTTAACCACATGATTTCAGACACAGCCCAGACTCTTCCTGCTCAAAGTGCCCATAATCTGCCTGAAAATGTTTATTTTGGCGGACAGCAGACAACGCTACCGTAACTGGACTTTAAAAACACAATGATTGGATCCCTATTGGTGCAGTTGGTTTTAGATGTGAACGAAAAACCAACGTCTCGTGCCTCTCCTAAAAGTCAAAGAGCTAAAACAGGACTTCATGTAATTTGCAGCTTAGTTGTAAAAACACTCCTTTGAACAGGTGTTTGTGAAGCTGCGAGGTTGTGTTGTGCGAAGCAGGTGACAGGAGAGTAATTGTTTGAATATAGAGAAAACTTCATAGAAACAGAAGCATTTTTTCCATCTGCAAGAGTGGTTCTCAAACTGCGGGGCATTTATTGTCTTCATCTTGGGTTGGGGTTCAGCTACGACATTAGTTTGTACTGTATTTACTCTCCTTTTCTCAACTTTTCTAAGATATCTAAACTCTGAACTCAAGAGTAAAAGTGGAAAGGACACACATTTAACTTACATACACAACATATTATTAAGTTAGACATTTTGTTTTATTTTAATCAGTAAAGCTGTTCATTGCCGTTCACTTATCCTGTGCTGTGTAAGTAAGTAAGTAATCTTTATTTATATACCGCCTTTTCACTGCAGATCTGAGTCTCAAAGCGGTTTACAATTGTTAATTTTTGGGCATTTGTCTCTCACTCCACACAGAGATGGGAGCGGGGCCAGTACAGGAGGCGCATGCCAGACCTATTGTACATGTTTTTAGTGGTAGGGGAAACCGGAGTACCCGGAGGAAACCTACGCAGACACGGGGAGAACATGCAAACTCCACTCAGAAAGGCCCTGGTCCGACCGGGATTCGAACCCAGGACCTTCTTGCTGAGAGGCGAGAGTGCTATCCACTCAGCCACCGTGCCGCCCTGTGTGCTTCTCATTCCGACTGTTCTATAACTGTTCTATAACTTGTGATGCAACCCTGAAATTTCCCCGCAGTGGGACGAAAAAAGGATCTCTTAATCTTAATCTCAATATTGATTCATTTAGTCACAAAAATCTTACTGAAATTTTGTTTTCAGTCCTGGCTCCAGGGAGAGGGGAGCTTTTGTACATGTTTATAGTGGGGGGGTAAACCGTAGCACCTGGAGGAAACCGGGCAGTCCGAAGGAACCCTATGCAGACGAGTGGAGAACATGCAAAAATTGTCTCATTGAGAGGGCTAACCACTCAGCCACAGTGCCGCCAACATGAAAAGTACATGAAATAACATACAGCTTTCTAAACAGTTCTTCTCTCTCTAAACAGTTTGATTCTAGCACTAATTTGGAAGCATATTTATAACAGCTTTTTCAGACAGACAAAAATATTAAATAAGATCAGCCGTACAGCCCAGAGGCATACACCCCAGCTTTGAAAAATAATAATAAAGTTGTTCATAAAATATACTTTGATAAATCGTACGAAATTAATGTTATACAAATGCCTTGTTATATCTAGCTCTACAAAAACTACTGAAATTACTTGACTGACTTAAAACCCCCAAACAACTGACTAATCTAAAAATCCAAAGGCAGAGAAAGGCAGCCACTTCTAACGCAGTCTGTCCCCATGGCCATCACAGCAGCTAATGAAACAGCCCCATGTGATGTGAGTCTGTAACGGCACAAGTGTGAGTGAGAAGGAGTTAGCGCAGACCCGGCTGTGAACCCGTCCATTACTGCTGTAGATTATACTGGTGCTTTGAGCCAAACTTCCCCGTTTCTGTGTGGACTATGCATCCTGTACGTATCAGAGAGGGAGGGGAATGAGAGCGACACAAAGCAGAGGGCTCTGAGCCTTCACCGGGCTCCACTACTGCTGATGGACTGCTCTGTGTGCTTTCTCCTCCAACTTTGTCTTTTCTGAGGAATTTTGCAAAGTTTTTTTTTTTAAATTTCATCTGCATCAGTCCGGTCAGAGTTTGCGTAGATCCACTTGTTGGATTCTGAAAAGGGTAAAAGGTAGGAAAGTGCAACATGTGTTTGTGCTGTGTTTATGTTGTCTGCATCTGTGCTCTGATTAAGGACGTTAATTCTTATAGTTTCATCACAACTCTCTCCTGTTTTTTTTTCTACTAATTCAAAACAGTGAAGTTTGAGTTTCCAATGATTCTGTCTTCAATATTTTCTTATCGATTTAAAGTGAAATATGTTTTGTTAAAATGTGTGAATAATGATCGACGCAGTTTTCTACCTAACTCTTTTTTATGACTTTGAGAGTTAATACGTACATTTCAAAGAATTGAGACCTCGTAGAGAATTGAAATGCAAAAAAAAAAGTATATAAAAGTGATTCATATTTAATAAAGTGCAGTAAGTCCTGGAAGTGAGACGTTTTTTTGTTTTGTTTTTTACCTTGATGTATGTTGTCGATTAAGACTACATGTTACATAATGACACAAATGTAAAAACAATTTGAAATTTCTCACACTACTGACCTCGAAAAGCAGTGTGGAAAGAGCTCTCTTTCTTCCATGTTTTAACAAATCTTATTTTTTGTCTTTCAGATCTCATTGCCCCTAGACCTGCTGCCCCCTCATTACAATCCACATTCTGACTCTATATAGACTCATTTCTTTATCCGCATTCTTCATTCAACCAGAAAGGAGTTTTAATATATATTTTTTGTAACATCTAAAGCCCTTTCAAATTGTCCCGTAGCTCAGTTCCCCTGATGGGCACCATATCTCTCACTACAACCACATTCCCATCTTCATTCCTGGGCTATTCTCTCCGCCCCTAACCAACTTTTGCCAACACAAACACCGATACGAACCAATGGAGACTGAAGACTTCATGATGACCAGTTCTTTCACCAAAGACAAAGGGGAAATGAACGAAGACGGCCAAGAAAAGCTGGTGTTAGGGGATGGCACGGAGCAAAAGGGACCTAAGCTTTCCAACTCCGAGCCCCAGGTGTCTAATGGTTTCACAACGAGCACCTCTCAGAGCTTCAGAGAGGGACAGGGCAACGGGGCAGGGTCCGGGGGGACTGTGCCCGGCCTGGGACACAGCTCCTCTGCACCTATGGGGGGCTTCAGGACTCTGGTGGTCCAACAAACCAGTCTGGACAGGCCCCGCGAGACGTGGAGTAAGAAGATGGACTTTTTGCTGTCTGTGATTGGCTACGCGGTGGACCTGGGCAATGTGTGGCGCTTCCCCTACATCTGCTATCAGAACGGAGGAGGTGAGGAAGAGGAGGGAGGATGGATAGTGTGTGTGGGGGTGTGTAACTGTTGTGGTTGTGTGGCGAAAGAAAATATAGAAAGTATGTTCATGTCATTTACCCGTTACCGCTTGAGCATAAATCTCCACATAAAGAACAGTGCTGTGAGATATGACATTGATCATATTTGTTGGAATTTTGCAACTTTTCTGTAAGATTCATTCCTGGTTTAGTTCCCTTTAACTGGATCAAGTCTGATTCAGATTTGTTTCAGTAGATTGAACATAAGTCCACTCGTTTGGTGGATTTGTATCGAGTTAAAGACTTTTTTTTTACCTCGAGTGAACCACAATTGGTCTACAGTAGTTAAAGTGTAGTTAAAGTGAACCAGACCAAATGTGAACGTCTTTAGACTTTTTCAGACGCGGAACAATACTCCAAGTGAGAAATCAATCTGAGAAAGTACATTTTACGCCTGTTCCATTGGCGACTCAAGTTTGAAAACAATCACTTCTGTTTTTTGTCGTAAGAAAAGCTACCCTCTGCAGTTCAGCTTTCTCTGAAGTAGAGAGAAACATCAAAAGTTCCCATTTGTGCAAAGAAAATACCAACGTGATAATTATTGGGTCATAAAAGGAATATTCTAACCATCATATGTGGATATCATAATTATCATGACAGATGTATGTGTGGGCAGGGCACGTCTATGTGGAGTATGGTAGTATTTCAGACAACTGCCTCTTGAAGTACGAGAGGTTTTGACTATAAATCTAAAGAATGATGTATTTCAGAATATTACTTAATAGTATAAACAATCTTTGATGGTTACTGTTACCGTCCCAACTTGAACACATTTGGGACATGTGAAGAGATAAGTTACTTAAGATACGTTCAGAATGATATTTTGGAGTCGTTTCTTGGGTAATTTCCAACTCAACCAAAAGAACAAATCAAAGGTTTAGCAGGTGAGCGAGCCAAAATAACCAACACCTGTAAAGCTACATCCTCACACTCTGCACTGTATCCGTCAGGTCAAGCAAAAAAAGGACAATAAAAAGTGTGAACAAAAACTTTAAAAAAAATCGTACCATGTGGCGTCTGCAGAGGCCACAGCCAGGTCCAGGAGCGGGTACAAGGAGCAGGTGGAGCGGTGGAATGATGCCAAGTGCTACTCTCACACACTATAACAAATATACAAACAAGTTAGAAAAGCGAGAGAAAAAAGCGCCCAAACAAAACCACTTTCTCTTGACCCAGTACGAGTGAAATATGCTGTGATAGCTGAGTCCACATCTGTGAGATACACAAGTTGCTCTAAGTCACAAGTAACATGAAGTTGTGAACGTTTAAAGCATTGATTGAAGAACTTTTTTGTAATTTCTTGCAATTTAAGTCCAGATTTATGAAACACAGTGAAACCGATCTGAGTTTATATTTACCTGTGTGTGATAATTAACTTCTGCGGCATAATTTAAGCTGTTATGGCTTAAAATGAGTGTGAAGAAGCCAGAACTGCTTCATTACCTCACTTTGTCTTTTAAAAGAACAATCTAATCCTTAAATATAAAGCTGTTTTAATTCCATTTTCGGCTTCATCTGGGACTGATACATTCCATATAATTCCATTGTATATTATTTGTTTTCTATTGTTTTGTATTGCCCTAAATCAAAACCGCAGTCTTTTGAATTACTCAGAGAAAATAACAAATGTAAGCATGAAAATTGAGACAAATGAGGATTCAAGCGCATGAGAGCAGTTCATGTTGGGTGTTTTGGAGTCAGAGAAGCCACATAGGGCGAGTTTGGACCTGTACAGAGGAGGCTAATGAATTTGTCAATAAAGGGATGTGGGGTTGGAGCAGCCAAGCAGGAGGTCCACGGGAAGAGACCAGAGAGGGATTTATGGATGTAGGGAGAGAGAACATAGAGAGCACACAGATAACTAGGGGAGCTTCTTGCAAAACATTACAAATATATCTATGTAGCCAAAGCTGGTGCAGTCCCCATGAGTTCCTGTCCAACAATAAGGTCTGGATTTTGTTGCTTGTTGTTGCTTCAGGGGCCAATTTTTAGGCTTTAGTTTAATTTGTTGTAATGTAATGGGTCAAAGCTGTGCAAAGCCAAGTGGAATTTCAATGAATGTTTGAATGACATTGAGAAAAGGCTGAAAATTCAAGTTGTAGAGAGCTGAACTATGTCCTTTGGCTGTCTATCATGCATGCTTGGATATTGGTAACACTTTTTAGTAACTACACCTATATTCAACCCATTTATTTATAACTTTTTAACACAATGTAGCACAATAATGTAGTTAAGGCTGAAATAAATGTTGAAGACCGTATTCGTTTTTAAACACATTGTTATTCATGCTTTATTAGGCCATGGCTAATGTAAATCAGTGATTCCAAATATGTATTTCTTGTATTAGGTTGTATCAGTTTAGCTGCCAGAACATTTAAAATCACTATATTTTGTCTCAGAATGTGAAGTATTTTCCGAAACTGAGCAGCTCACCTGTAGAATGCTATATATTGTTTTATTTGTCTGGGCCACAGACAGCTTATATTGACACAGAGCATGCACTAAAGACACACTACACAATGTGCACCTAGCAGCAACCAGGACCTCCCTTTTATTGGATTTGCAATAATAAAATCTTTGCAATTTCCTGTGCAGTGTTCGTGTCTCCCCGAGCGCACAGAGATGGCGGCCGGGACACACTTGATACAAGCAACAGTATTAATTGTGGTTTTTTTCTTGAGAACGCGTTGAGTTTCTTTTTCTTTACTTAATAACCTGTCTCCCAGGCGGACGCTCAATCAAACCTTATCTGAGGCTTCATGTCAAATCGTCATGTGTGTGCACAGACTCATGCACACTGTTTATTCCAACCATGAACAATATACTCTACTAACTAAGTAAGTAAAATGCACCATCCAGACTCAAGACTCAGGACTATAGGTGTGTAGTAAAAGAAAATAGACAACTAATGTCTGATTATGTGTCATTGCTTACATACAATAATAGTATCTTCTGATAAAAAGGCGTACGTTTTCTACAGATGGAATGTCAGTTGCTTCTGGAGATGGTGAAAGTCCCATGGAATTATTATAATTTTGCAGAAAATGGATATGGGATGAGTTTGATAGAGGCCCACTTACCTTTCTATCCTTGTTTTATGCAAACGATTGAATGTAATTGGTATTTGTTTATAATGTGCATGTCACATTAATGTGATTATATTACTTGAGTTTGCATCTTAGCGTTTTGCTCTTGTTCCTAAAATAATTACATGGATTATTTTCCCACAATCATTTAATCACAATCCCTCTGATCTTGTTACTTTCCATGCATTGGTTAAGTGGAAGATTGATGCCATCACAGATCATTGTTTCAAGTCCTCTGAATTGAAGATTAGATGAAGACAGACTCGTCAGTGCACTTCTACTCCTCAAAACGAATCTGACGCAGTGAAGAATTCAGGCATGTTTCCAGCCAGCAGATTTTACCAAAGCTGTGGGTAGTGACAAACAAAAATATTACAAGGATGAGTTGAAAGCGGTTGTTGCCACATTTCAATGACATATTTGGTTGTAGTATATGTGATCCAAAGCATGGTACCCATCCAGTATTCTGGATTTAGATCATCAGAGATATACAAATGGTTTGCAATTGTCAAATTTAATCACAAACTGTCTGGGACTTTGGTTTTATTTGAGTTCTGCTTTAAAGAACACATAGAGAGCAGGCAGGCTGCTCTCAGCAACATCTAGGAAAATTAGTTCCTAACGCTCAGGTTTAATTGTGTATCTCTATTTTGTTTTATTCTATTCTAAATAAAATGTATCACAGCAAAAGGTCTAGATTGCTTTTTCATGAGCTATAAAATCAACTTAGTTTCACAGACTAATGGACCAATGGGTGTGTACAGGTAAAACACTTCTGCACTTGAATGCAGAGAATCCAAAATTACTCAAACATGACTCAATTACCCTGATTCTGTGACTGTGCATGAACAATATTACACTGTATTACATACACCTAAAATACTGTACATGTGATATGAACATGTTAACATCATGTTGGGAGAAGGTTGCAGACATTGATATTTCTCTTATTGAATGTTATAATGTGCCGTATTCCGCTTGTGTGCAGGTGCATTCCTGCTGCCCTACATGTTGATGGCTGTGTTTGGAGGAGTGCCTCTGTTTTACATGGAGCTCGCTCTGGGGCAGTTCCATCGCAGCGGCTGCATCTCCATCTGGAAACACATCTGCCCCATTTTCAAAGGTAACAAGACCTTAACGGACAAAGTAGTAGTTATTATTGAAAATTATCTTTTTTTAAAAATAACATCAATATCTAAAATCGGTTGTTTGTTGTATCTTTATTTGATGGAAGGAGAGATATTTATAAAAGTTATAAAAGTTTTTTTGTGCCCTCAAGCAAGATACTTTACCCATATTGCCTAGTACAAGTCTGGTGTGTGAATGACTGGTGGTGGATGGAGGACCCGATGATCCGATGGACAGCCTCGCTGTGAGCCATGGGCAGCTGCGCCTATAAAGAAGTTTACCACCACATCTTCAATCATTAAGTGTATACAGTATTTTGAACAAAAAGATAATAGTGTAACTTACTGTGTTGTGTTTTAGAGCATTTCCTTCTTACACAGAATTTAAATACTAATGGTATGTTAAAGGTCAGGTACAGGGAGATTTTCCAAATGCAAACACTGGTTAGAAAAGCCCATGCTCTCCCACATAATGTGCTTTTGTTTACTAAAATAGTTCTAATTTGACACCTATGCATAATCTGGGAATGTTCAAAACATATGTATCTTAACAAGATCAAAATTTGACAGCTGTCTTCATGGGCACATGCCCTCAGACAACCCCTCATCTCCTTGTAACTTCTGTGGACTCTCTGTAATGGAAATCCTCACATTTTACCTCCAAATGTCACACCCTCAGTGTGTATGTAAATGACTGAAATGTCACTCACTTTTTACCCAAAGATCTGGAATTAGCCCGAACTCCACAGATCTTCACAAGAGCTTTTTCAGTCTGACTGACAAAGTGTTTACTCTGATTCCAGTTTGTATAAACTGCTGTGGAGTTTTCACAATTTGGCTCCATGTCTATTATAGAAGTAGAAGAGACATGGATATACTTACAAAAGTATATTCAGGAAAAAGCAGGACTTTGGTGGGATCACTAAATACTGTCTTCATTAAGAACCCTGCGAGCCAATATCTGACGCTGGGACGAAGAACTGTAATTGGCTGCTTGTGTGATCACTTTTCTGAATGAAAACAGTTGTTATGGAAATCAAAGGACTCACTCATATAATGTTGTGCTGTATAGTGAGATCATGTGTACAGCAGTTTCAGTTCCTTGAAGATATGACCTGTTGCTTTGTTAATAAGAGCATGTGTTTCAGGCATAGGTTTTGCCATCTGCATCATTGCGCTCTACATCGCCTTCTACTACAACACCATCATGGCCTGGGCGCTGTACTACCTCCTGTCCTCCTTTGGGCCTGAGCTGCCCTGGACCACCTGCAGCAACAGCTGGAACACAGTCAACTGCAACAACTACATCTGGAGCGACAACAATGTCAGCTGGTCCAACTCCTCCATCTCCCCAGCAGAGGAGTTCTATACGTAAGTGCATGTAAGTGGGAGGAGGGCGTAGGACACAAGGGAAGAGAAGGAAGATGAAGACAAGGAGGGATGCTTGATTTTAAGTTTTGGATTTATTATTATGCTTTACAGCAAGTATAGCATAATATAGCTATATATAATAGCACACTCTCATTGGAAATTATTGGATTTATATCAGAAAAGGGAAACGTATTAGCTCAATAAGTTTGCATGAGGCTAATAATAAGTCATGTAGTAAAAAGTAAGTACATTAGTGTCTACTCATTAACCCTTGAATGTTTGAAGACTAATAACAAATAACCAAATAATTTGTTTTTATAAGCCCTATTTATTTTATTATAGGTCTTTACCAAATGGTTGAGATGCAATTTGATGATAAAAGTGCTTTAAACCGAGTGTTAGAGATGCCCCAAAGAGGTGGATTTTAGTTCCAAGCTTCAAATAGATATAGTGACTCAAAAAGTGATCCACCAAATGTTTGAGGAAGCTATTAAATGTTAATGATTATCATTGAAAACCAGTCTGATATTTAATATATGCTTGTGACAGATCAACTCTTTACCTCACCCTGATTGTTTTCACAATTTGGAATAAACATTTCTATCTCCTTAGAACATCGCACAGCACTCCTTTTGTTATCATCAATTCATTACATGTATTAAGTAACGGATAAAAACAAGAGGAATGTTTGTATCAAAGGATTTAAATGGAATTACCTTCTCAGCCATTCACCAGAAATAATTTGAATGACCCATTGCTCTCACTGCCGAAGTGACATTATGTTCAAACGAGGGGCTTATTGAACATATCCAGAGCCACTATCTGAGGCAAACAGGGAAACATATAAGCGATATGTAAAAAATAAGTTAGTTAGTAGTTAGTAAAGATAGAAAACGATCACATTCCCCGTGTGCTGCAGTCTGTCTGGTTGTGTGATGTCGACTGACACTGTGCTAATACACCCATAGAGGATTATTTTGCTTTTTCCTCCAAGATAAAAAGTTGGAATCTTTGCCCAAGTCTCCCATATTTGTACAATGTCCCTCTAATAACAGGATTTAGGCACTTTGCAGCACAAGCTCTCCATGTTTAGTCAGAAACCTGCCCCTATCCACCTTCTGCTCGATCTGATCTCAGGTTATTTCAAGTTAAGACCACATCCTCTCTTTGTGCGTCTGTGTGCCTCCAATTCCCCCATGTTTTCTATGTTAATATCTTCTGGCTTAGTCTTATCAGTCCCTGTGTTTGTGTATAGGACATTTTCAGGGTTTATACAGAGTTAATTTTTCTTTCTTCTCGTTTGAAATTCCACACCTCAGTCTGGCGCCAGAGTTTCCTGTTTTTAGCATAAATGAAGTCTCAGTTTTATTATCAGTGTTTCATAATCTTTCACTTATTTTGCAAAAAGGAATACCTGATTTACAGCTTTACTTTTGGAAGACGCTTTCTTTTGGGACAAACATAAGTGGTTTTTATGGAGGGGGAGCGGGGAGAGAGGGTAATGTTTTCTCAATTGTGGCTTCTTTTTGCTAACTTCATAAATTGATAATGCTGTATTCCTGTTACTTACCCAGTCCGTCTTCACCTGTGTGTGACAGTCGACAGGTGCTGCAGGTGCACCTCTCCTCTGGTCTCCATGATGTGGGCTCTGTGAGCTGGCAGCTGGCCCTGTGCCTCCTCTTCATCTTCACCATTGTCTATTTCAGCATCTGGAAAGGAGTCAAGACGTCTGGGAAGGTAACTCACACGGACGCCTGTGTGTCTGATGAGGTGTCCACTGCAGGGGTTGGATACAGAGTCATACGTATTCCTCCCTCTGATAAACATACAGTGTCTTTGGGCTAGTCACATGGGGGAAAAAAAAGTGTAATTAGTCACACATTGTCACAATATTGTACTAAAACTGAATGAAAGTGTAAAGCAACTTGATTATTTTGTCTGCAAAGGTTTTCAGCTTTTGTTGCTTAAAAAGTATTAATTGTGGGCACATTTTTAGATTTTCATACAGAGATAATGCCATATAAAGTTTACTTATTTTACATATATAATTTCCAATTCGCTATGTTAAACTCATTGGAATAAAAAAACAAAAGCAAAAGAGTTGATTAAACTGATTGATTGGTCCAACACTGTATATTGGGCAGAATGAACAATTACCATTGGTTGGTGCAAACCCAAAATACCATGGCAACTACTAGGAATCACCCCAACAAGTTTGTGGCGCCACCAGTATGAATGAATGGAGGTGGTCGGCGAACTAGATTTGTCATTTTGCATTGATGGGTATAATGACCAATATAGACTGATTATGGGTGTTTAAACCAAAAACCTGGGTCAAACACATAACTACTAAACAACCCAAACTCTACCTGCACTGAAGCACTGACTGGATGTATGAATGTATACAATTGATTATATACAATACCTTATTATAATTAAGGTATTGCAGTATCACAGCTTCCATAATGACTGTCATTATGTGTACATTGGTCAGGTGGTTTGGGTCACAGCCACATTCCCGTACCTGGTTCTCTTGGTGCTGCTGATCCGCGGAGCCACTCTGCCTGGGGCCTGGAGAGGAGTGGTCTTCTATCTCAAACCGGACTGGGGAAAACTTCTCAGTACCACAGTGAGTGAACTTATATGTATTTACCTCCTAATTGGCCTGCATACACTATTTCTATTAATACCCACACTCATGATCCCGCTGCTCTGAATAAGACAGATTTGATTGGGCTGTGTATTTCCCCATATTGAGCATTTCTACTGATAAACTATAACTGCTGAGCTAAAAACTAAAAACCAAATAACACTTTATCCATAAATAGCAATCAATTGATAGAAAACCCCTTCGTTTTTAATTTTATTGCACATTATATATCTTGCACAAAAGAGATATTTTTCTACCCGATTGGTACTATTTATACCTAGAATGAGTCTAGTGTGTGTGTGAATGGTTGGTGGTGGTCGCTTCTGTCATTTGTGTCAGCTGTGGCTACAGTAGTTTATCACCACCGTGTATGGAGTGAATGAATAATGAAATGTGAAGTATCTTTGAGTGTCCAAAAAAGCGCTATATACAACTGATGCATTATTATTATTATTAAATGTGACATGTAACTTTCTCCATTGTGAGATCAATAAATTCAATCCTATCTTAACATGCGAAAGTAAATGTTCATTATCATGTTTAATGGCCAAAATGAGTACGAATAAAATATGAATAATGTGATTCTGTTATGGTCTTCAGGTGTGGATCGATGCTGCAGCTCAGATCTTCTTCTCTCTGGGTCCAGGGTTTGGGGTCCTTCTCGCCTACGCCAGCTACAACCCCTTCCACAACAACTGCTACAAGTAACACACTCGTGATTTGTGACGACGTCTTGCCTTTCAGATTACGACATCTAATTTAATATGCTTGCTGTTTTCTCCTCAGAGACGCCCTGGTGACGAGCTCTGTGAACTGTCTGACCAGTTTCATGTCCGGGTTTGTAATCTTCACCGTTCTGGGCTACATGGCAGAGATGAGGAATCAGGATGTGGACGCAGTGGCCAAAGATGCTGGTATGTCAGTTGGTTATAATTAATTAATTACATTTACAGCAATTTTTTGTTTCTCAGAGGAATAAAAATAAATCCCTTTGGAGCAAAAATGCATTATGTAACTCTTCTGGTTGCTTGTGTCTGTGGAGATGAAATAAAATGCAAAAAGTGATGAAAAATAAGTTGAAAATTGCACACAATTTTTTTTTATTTATCTGGCAAAATGATCTTGTTTTAAAAGGATACAAGAAATGATTCCCTTGGAATGAGAAAATGAAGCAACAGTTCTTGGTATAAGACTAAATGGCTTTTTTCCAATCTGCAAATCTTGTTTTAAGACATTCAGAATTTACTCAAATTAGATAAACATTATTAGGTTATTAGCTGGTGAAATCTATTCTTCTAAAAAGGAAAAACACTTTGGGTACTGCTGCATTTCAGATTCAGAATCAGAATAATTTTTATTGCCACGTAAGTAACAGGAAGTCACAGACTTGGAAATTGCTTTGGCTCAGTGCAATAGTCAGAAAGAGATAATAAAAAATAAAGAATAAAAAACACTTCTAAGGAATACATTTAAATTTAAAATAGAGTTACAGTTACTATTTACAATATACAAGTGCACATGGTGCACACAATGTAAGGTGAACAGCAGTACAGTGAAGTAAAGTGACGTATGATGGGCAGTAAAGTGACTTTATAAAGGGCGGGGGGACAGGTTAAGAAGTTCAGAATATTTTGAGTTTCCTGCAAGAATTACCTCAAGGGACATCCAATGGTAGTTTAAACTTTCTGAATAGATAAGAGCAGAACAAAATTAATTAAAATCTATGTCCATAGTTCCTGGCCCTAAAACAGTTTGGTCTATCTATTTTTCACATGCATATATTTATGCCATCTGTCACAGGACCAACATCACTCAATCAGCTCTGAGGCCAAAGCGTCAAACAGTGACTTCTTGTGAGTTTGTCTCACTCAAAACATAACATAAAACAATTATGACATTTGCAGTAGAACCATATTTGGAAAAACTGTGCAAAACTATCCCAGTGTGCACCAGACAGCTGTTGTGGTCTGATTCACTGATAAAAAAAACTCTTTCTTTTGGGACAGACTAAACGTACAATGCAAGAAATCAGAAGGTATGTTACCCCAGCCTTTCAGTGAGATGCATCTGGATCCTCTTGCTATTTCTCACACAACTTACTAAACATGCTCTAACTCAATGTGCGTGGCATCTCCAGAGCAGAGCATCTTTTGACTGTCAATCTTACCTTTCTTTTCATAGGCCCCAGTCTGTTGTTCATCATTTACGCCGAGGCTATAGCCAACATGCCGGCCGCCACGTTTTTCGCCATCATCTTCTTCTTAATGATCATCATGCTGGGTCTGGACAGCACTGTGAGTTCAATATAACCTCATCTCTCCTCTGCTATACTCTCTCTGTAAAGCGCTTTGGGTGACTTTGGTCTTTGCACTATATATATACAGTGTTTCCCACACATAGACTAATCTGTGGCGCACCGCCACAGATTAGAGACCGCCCGCCACAAATTGCGTTTCGTATTATTATATATATATTTTTTTTGTTACGCTATTTAAAACATGCATCGTCTAGTGCCGCCGCAGCGGTCAATTTGACAGCGGGGAGGGGGGTTTAAAATGTGGCGGCCCTTCGTAACTCTCACTCAAGCTACGCGTCTCTCCCACATACAGAGACCTACACACACACAGCCCCTCCCCTTCGTGCACACCGCGTGTCTCCGTCTCCATCAGCGATCATCGCTGTAAGCAGCTGTGTCTATTAATTTTGGTGCAGAGAAGACGGCTGGTGAAGTTCACTAAAGGTTGGTATCCTGTGATCTCGTAAATCACACATTAAAAAGTGCTGAATGTTCAGTGTCAATGTTGAATTTCCGTCCCGACTCCCTTAACAAGCGATGACGCTTTCTTTATAAAGTTAATTAGTCGCAAGTTTGCGGTATGTAGTTGGGTTGTCGGGGTCAAAACACTATGTAGCAGCTGTAGCAAGAAATAAAGTTATAAGTAACGTTATGTCATTTTTTTACTCTTACACTGAATGTTTGCTGCTTCAATCCAGATGAGTATTGAACAATATTTTCCGCGATTGAAAAAGACACGCGTTGAGGATGAGGATCAGCCTGAACCAGAGGTATCGGTCTGAAACAGTCCGCAGTGTAATTAGCTATATAAGTTGTTTACAATATTTTCAGGCTTCAACCAGTGCTGCTCAAGCAGAAAGACAGGGTCAGGGAGAGAACGAGATAGAATTGATTGAAGAAAGAGTAGAGGAGGACGGCATCCAACATGCTGCTGTGACAGAGTCAGCTGAAGCAACAGGTGAGGTGGACAAACGGATACAGAAACAGGCGGGTAAGAAAGCAGGTATCAGTTCAAGGGAACTCGTTTCTATTGTTCTGTTTAGATAGTACTTTGGCAACATCCAAAAGCACCAGACACAGGGCCACGGGATTCAACAGGGAGTGGTTGAACATGCCTCAGTTCAAGTCATGGTTATACAACACACCGCATGGTAAGCTTTAATGTCTGCATAATATGCTATCCTTTACATATATTAAAACTTTTTTTTATTGATTATTCTTTTCCATTTATGATTTTTTTAACACAGTGTGACTGTGGAATGTCTGACTATTTAGCTAATTTCATTAATTATGATGTCTTTTTTTATATTGGTGCATTTTGCATTGATAATAATTTATCATTTTGCTTTATCTCCAGGTGAAAACAGACCTCAGGAACAAACTGCAAGGAGAACACCTGGCAGCTTGCTTGAGGATCTCCATCAATGGACCCTGTCCTGAGGACTTCCCTTATGATATGGCATTAAAATCTTTTTTTCGCCAGCCCCGAAAAATCAGGTGCTCTGATAAAACATGCAAACTTGCAACAAGTAGGTTTATACAGCGTTAACAGTATTTATAGTGTAATATACAGCGTGTGAATAATGTTTGATATTTTGATCAGTCCAATAAAGCTGTATTTGACCAATTAACGATGTCATTGTTAATTTTTGCCGGCCGACCAGCTCTCCCCCCCCCCCCCCCCCCCCCCCCCGCCGACGACCACCACACATTGCCTTCAAACCTGTGGGAAACACTGATATATATATATATATATATATATATATATATTACATTACTTACTTACTTACTTTGAAGTAGAAAATATATAGTGAAACAAGTATGAAGGGTAATAAATGCCATGCTACTATCAGAGGAAGGAGTTGAATTTGTTTTATTTCCCAATTCAAAAATTACCATCTGCAAACACGGTCATACAATTGTGCAGATCATAATTTCACCTGAGAAAACAAATCATTGAAAGGCATGTGTATTTGTATAGCTCACTTCATCAGTGTGTGCCCTCAAAGTGCACACACTTAGCACTCTTGACTTGGATTTGAACAATGCCTGTCTCACATTTTCAGGAATACTGTTCCAGAATTTTGCTGCATAAATCCAAGATGCTGCCTCTGCATTTTTGGTCTTGCCTCTGGGCACCAGCAGGAGGCCAGTTCTGGGCCCAAGTTTTGTTTTGAAACTATAAAAAGGATACTTTTACAGGCCTGAGACAGGCACTTTTAGACAGAAAAGGCAGAGTCAGATGTTTGTACCAGAAGTGAGCGTGGATTGATCTAAAACAAACTCCAGGGCTGTTTTTGAGGGAACAATGGTGTAATATAGTAAAAAGCTCAAATAGGTAAATTTAGCATCACTTTTATACAAGCATAGCCTTCATAACCATACCTTCATACCCCACTATTTACCTGTTGCTCCTTCAGTAGAGTTGAATATTATTTGTCCTTTTGAATTACAAAGAAGAAAAACACGGTGATATGGCAGAGATACGGGAGCAGGGAGGTGATATTGTCTCTGAGTTTATCTGGGCAAACGCAGCGAGCTGGAGACAGGGCTGTGCTCTTATCTAACCATGATAATCACAGTCGAATCAGGAAATTACAACCACCTCTCATTGTACATGTTTTTAAAGCTGCTACAATTTTACTGTTTTTGATGTTTTTTGTTTAATACAAGGCCTTCCACAGAGGAGGTGGATCAACAAAGTATTGACATAAAAAAACACAAAAAATTTTTTTTCATATAAATAGCCAACAAACTTTTAAAATATGATTTAACGTATTTTTTTCTATCTCTTGCTTTTTACTCAAAATGCGCCCTTATTAACTATTCATTCAGTTTCCAACAATAGTAATGGTAATGTGTAGATTACTAGCAATAAATATAGTACAATACAAAACGTACAGCTTAGTACAGTTAGCATTTAACGTTTGAAAATATTACTACTTCAGGACCTGTTGCAACCTTTACCAAATGCATACAAAATAATATAATCTGGGTTCTCGATTTTTAAACTGCAAGAGTAGGATAGTAAATAGTTAAATAAATTTGTCTCAAGCCTACCACACATGAATAGTATTCACGTGCCTGAACATTTCGCCACTAGCACAATCTATCTACATATCAAATAATACAAATGTACAAATGTCCCCAGTTTGCAGGGCTGGAGGGGGTGATCACTGCTATGTTGGACGAGTTTCCACATGTTCTCGCAAAAAGACGTGAACTGTTTGTATTTGGTCTCATCTGCGTCTGTTATCTGGGCGCTCTCTCCACTCTCACCTACGTAAGTTATTTCAATAGTCCATAGATAATTCATTTCCCTTTCAGCAGACATGATGCACATATAAAATTATGTTGTCCTCAGGGTGGAGCTTTCGTGGTGAAGTTGTTCGAGGAGTACGCCACAGGTCCCGCTCTCATCACAGTGGTTCTGCTGGAGGTCATCGCGGTCTCCTGGTTTTATGGTAATATAATTGGACTATTCTTAACTGTTTCAAATGTACAATATTGGGGAACTTGTTTGTTTGCATGCATACTGAGCACCTTGTTATCTTGCATACCATTTTTTATGTGGATTTACATTCTCTCAACACATAAACTGTTTGTGTTGTAGGTACCACTCGCTTCTGTAATGACATCCACTATATGCTGGGCTTCTATCCAGGATGGTTCTGGAGAATATGCTGGGTTGCTATTTGTCCTTGCTTTCTACTGGTAAGGAAGTTATATAAGGGCTTAAAAATCTATGTTATTGCCATTACACATTGGACAAGTGTTATTTGGTCAAAGTCATCCCCAGTTGAATAACATAAGGTTACAATTACTTCTTAAAGGTCCTATATCACACTTTTCTTCATGTTTCACACTCAATCCTATACACATGTGTGATATTAATGTGTATGATACACCACACAACAATCAAACCTTGTGAGATTAGAGCCATCTCTTGTATAGAGGTGACGTCACCTCGACTCAAACGAGCTGATCCAGAGTCTGCTCCTCTGTCCGTGAGCCCGCCTCCCCCCGTCCGCACGCTGACGTAGCATCACGCTTTTGTCGTTTATCACCTGTACTTAGTAATTTCATACATAAGAATACACTTTTTCCAACAATGACAATCCGTCACATCGAGCCCTATGTCCTCGATGCACAATCAGACCCTAGTTATTTAGTTTACAGAAGTATACAGCGAGTTAGCGTCACTACTTACAGATCGAGGGGGTCCGAGTTACGTCTTTTACCGTGGGAATAACGTGTTTCCAGATCAGCTTTTGAGTAAGTCCAGTTCCATTGTCCCTGTAGTTCTGGAACAGTCTCAGTGAAGTGTCGCAGATGAACCGGTATTTTAATAGATCCATGAGATGAACAGATGAAAAAAGTCGAGCCGCTTTCTTCCTCTTAGGGCCAAATAGTGTGTCACATATTTACACCCATAACACACTTCATTCAAGTTGACGTGATCCTAACACTTTTAGTTGCTGACAAAAGCATAAAAACAGCAGCTCTATGTGGTGTCCGCGAGACCAGACCACAGACGCTGGACTCGGGAGCCGGAGCCTGTGCGCTCTGATTCGCTGTTTTGATCCGTCAATCACCTCCCGCCGGCTTTTAATTTATTTTTATTTTTATTATTTTTGACAAACAGCATACTAATTGTGTATTGTTTACCCCGTTTTGACAAAAGTATTTAACAACTATTTTAAATACAAAGCAAACGGGGTCATGCGCGTCATGCGCGTCATCAGTGTGGTTTTCGTCACTGAAGTGGACCCGAGCGTTTCTGTGCCTCACGCTGGGGAAGGAGACAGATTGCTCTCTTACAAAAGATTGACAGAATCAATGAATAAACTACTGTGGGCTTATTTATGAAGGCCAAATAGCATTGTAATCATGTTTAAAGCAGAGAAAAGTCAAAAACTGTGATATGGGCCCTTTAATGTGAGCAATATATCAATGCTACCTTCTTGCCAATTTATAACTACCTTTAATGTCTATTGTCTGTTTTTAGTTCATCATCATCAGTTTCCTGGCCTTCCCTCCGGATGTGAAGTTGTTTGAGTACAACTATCCTCCGTGGACTACTGCCCTGGGATACTGCATTGGCGTGTCCTCCTTCATTTGTGTGCCTATTTACATGGTCTACTACTTGCTAAACGCAAAGGGCACCTTTAAGCAGGTGATGATTTAAGTTCAGCTCCATCTGACAGTTAAAATCATTGTCCATGTTTTCTCTTCAGAGGAAAACACTGTATGCTGATGCCCTGGTTGCGACAAAAAGCAGGAATTTAAAATACTTGAAAAGCACTCGCATTAGACCTCTGCCAATAGACACAGTTCCTTGAAACTATTAAATGTTCCAGGATAAAAGATCTAATAATTAGTTTCTTGTCACATTTCCAAGATGTACTGAAAATATCCATATTTATTTTTTGTTTACTGGCAAAATATATACATACATAAATACATTCAATCAACTCTGTTTGGGTGCGCAACAGCAATCCATCTTTGATAAATATAAGTTCTATATATATAATAATATGTATTAGATATGTGTTTTCTGTGGAGAATTTCCGGGCCATACTTACCTTGCTTAACCAGAATTCGGGGCCCTTTGCCAGTTTGGGGCTCTTAAGCTTAACAATGCTTGCTGTTTTAGTAGTTGCTCGTCAGTTATGTCATTTCATCATAGTTAAACTAATTATGGCCTTTATTAGAATGCTATTTACATTTGAAGGCAAAAGTGTTAGACAAAATAAAATACTGCATACATACACTGAACCCTTTAAGACTCACTCCGTGTAGAAAACAATATATTTATATACATTTTTTGGGATTTTCTAAGATGTAGGAGCACTAACAACACAATTTGTTTTTACGTTGTTTTTTTAACCCCTATTATTTATATTATAGGCCTTTACCAAAATGTTGAGAAGCAGTTTGGTTGTGAAAGTGCCTAAAACCAAGTGAGATTCCCCAAAGAGGCAGATTTCAGTTCCAAGCATGCCTAAAGTGATCTACCAAATGGTTGAGGAAAGGGTCAAAACAACAGTCTATAGGATAATAAATATCTATAAGGAAAAACTTACAACAGAATCATGTTGGGTTCATTTAATCATGCTATGGAGCAATCTGAAATGTTTTATAGGTGATAGGCTAAACATTGTTTTTACCATCTAATCCCTTGTTATGTTGTGTCTACCTCTGTAAACAATGTGTCCTTATTAGGTTAAAAATGAAAGACCCTAATTGAACGTCTTAAGCATTATGAGTGTTTGAGAGGGAGGGGGTTTGGCTCATGTCCAGTGTTGACTCTCCCCGTCAACGCTCACAAAGGCCACGCTCCACGCTGACGTCAGGCTTTGTGTCCAGGCTTCATGAAATGTACAAAGTCAGCAGAGCCTCCTGCGTTTGTTTATGTCCTCTGTATCCTGCTTTGTCCCACATACTAAAGGTGTTAACATGTACTCGCTCAGTGGCTCTTTGTGGCGCTGATGTGAGTCAACACAAAATTACATAACACAACATTGGTTATCATGAACAAAAAGCTCAACATTGTCTTGTTGCAGTCATTCAAATTGAGGGGGCAACTTAGAAACAAAATTCTCATAAATGTTCATAAAGTATCATTAATTATCATCAATTTTCATCTAAATTGCAGGAGATATAATAATCATGTAGCAAAATGGGACAGTGTTAAAAGCAGGAGTAGTTTTAGTTTACCCTTGACTTGTGCAAAGGTTTTGAATGGTTTTCTTCCCTCTCTTCTGTTCCCACAGCGCCTCCTGAAGAGCATCACTCCTGTGCCGTCCAGTGATCTCCACAGAGACTTAGTGACCAACGCAGTGTGACCAAACCCTGACCAAAAGCAGGTGCCTCTCCATATACAGCATAGAGCGCCCTCAACTGGTACAAACTACAACATTGCAAACTACTGGACAAGGAGGCTACCTTTCACCACCTTTGCCTCTTATACCTCTCTGTCATGTTATTTTATTTCCGCTCTTTAACAACAACATTCTGGTTTAGTTTTTTGAAACATTTATATTTTATTAAACACATTACCATTTGGAGAAGCAAACAGGAGAGATGCTGTTTAAACCAAATCTCCACTTGAATGTTAATTGTGTGCCTCAAGCAGGATGTGGTCCTGAAGAGCCATAATAAAGTCAGTATATAGGAGAGATGCACTTCGACATTACATTATTGTGTAAAAATGCCTAGAATTTGCATAGTGCCTTTCTCAAAACAATCCACTCCTCTGTGATGACATTTCACAGCTGCCATGGGGCAGAGAAAGAAGAAAATCAAATGTATTCAGTTCTGTATGTTTGTTGACCTTGGTTCATTTATCAACTACAGAAATGCCTTTCCCAAGAACATAAACCAAACAAGGAGGATACAAATCTTTACATTTGCGATGGTTTTTAATGTTTCTTTTGAAAAGTACTTTCCTAAAAGCACTTTTAGCTGATAAGCCTCTCTTAAAAAGCATACGATTATTATCTTATCTTTTAGTTCTTGTGAAACTGTTTACATTCCATGTTTTGTGATGAGGACCAGTGCTGCTGTGTCCACGTTCAGACCTTCACATCTCCTATGATCCCACACTGTCAATCACAGACCTCTAGGGCCCGCCTCTTTCACAATGGACCTGACAAAAGACTGTTCAATGCTCCTGTTTGCTTCTCTTTACAATGTTACACATTACGATCAGGATTATGAATGTGGAAAAGATAGTTTTAAACTGTGCTCTCTTAAAGAAGGCAGCATTGTATTTTTTCTATTAGAATTTATTTCAAAATTATATGTTTCTCAGTACACAAAGTAATAATTCCACTTTCACCAATATTATGGTTGTATTTTTATACAATATGTTTTACATTTCAATAAGTAGCATTCAAATTCAGGTATCTTTAATATTTGTTGCTAAAGCCAAATATATATTTGTTTCCACATTTCTAAAGAATGAAATGCTGTGTTAGATGTGTCAGTATGACTTTCTTTGTACTATTTTGACAAAGGGACATTAGCAAGATTTCTTCACTGTGAAGCACTATACAGTACACATGGCTGATACGTGAATGTGTGGAGAAGAGAGACAGAAAACAATGCAGCAAACCACCTTTGTGTTTTGTTTGCTATATCAGAATATTAGAAGAAATATATTTATTTGATTTAATATTATATTGTTTATTCCATGTGTCTAAATACTGATCTTTGTAGAGTCCCGGATCATTCTGTGTTTTTCTCATGCTCAAGCTAAATGAGGATTAGCATGAAACATAATAATAATATCATCAATGCCATAGACTCAGAAAACACTGCTCTTTACTTTGGACCAAAAATGGGTGTGCGTGACCCTGTGCCTCTGTGAGATTCAGCTGTGTGTGTGTGTGTGTGGGTGTGTGCGTGCATGTGTGTGCGTATGTGTGTGTGTGTGTGTGTGTGAGTGTGCGTATGTGTGCGTGTATTCGTGTGTAAGTCAATAGGAGCAGGTTAATATGGCGAGTACTGTACCTTACCGTGTATTTACTAGTCAAACCTATGGTAATGTTGTAAAAATATTTAGCACAGGCCTGTCTCTTGCGTGCGTGGCGGCGTGTGCATTCACTCGTCTGTTGTTTGCGTGTTTATGTAATCTCATGTTGTCTCGTCAACCTGCCAAAATATCCCATAATGGAAGCTGACTCCCCTTTGCCTCATTCTTACCTCTGAAGCCTATGTAAGATTGTTGTGAGTCTAAAATGTATTGAGAAACACATCTGTATAGAATAAATATGTATAAATATACAATAATAATAAAGATATATGGGAGATAATGCATGTGTCGTCTATATTTTTTGAATTGTGTAAGAAGACCATAAACAGGATGCTTTGAAAGCCTCTCTTACGTTAATGAAACACTTCAAGTTCATGCAAAAAACAAGCAAATAATGGAAAATACCACCTATTACAATGAAATATTGACATGTCTTTCAGCCTATACCAGGGGCCAAAATAGCTAAAACTTGTAAAAATGTTTTAACGTTTTACAGATATATCCTGAAATGCAAATCCGTTTCCCACATTTATAAACTCTTTTTGAGTTTGTACTGTACCTTTTTGCTCATTTCTCTTCTTTCAGTTTGTGTGAGCGCATTATTTTGACAATTTCCTCTCACCTCGCTGCTCCTGGCTGATGGGCACATTGTGTGGTCCCTGTATCGCCTCTATCGGAGCAGATCTATATTAAAACACCGGCGTGATGCCCACCGTTCCACCTCCTGCTGCTGCATCTCAGTATCTGCTACACTCTCTATTCTTCTCTTGGATTCATCTAGAAGATCTCCCACAGAGCTCATATTAAATTCATGCACAGTGTGTTTAAAGGTGCTATCTTTCATTTTTCGCTGTTGATTTAATCAAATAGTTTGAAATTTTGGGGATGTTACATTAACATTTCTCTACAAGTCTAAACTTTAACATACCAGCAGCATCTTACATCAGGTTGACTTTGCCATCAATAAAGGATCATTATGTGAGTATGCACAGTTGGATGTTTGTGTCAGTATTATAATGTGACCATCTCATCAAAATTGTGGCTAAACTGAACCATCAATTGTCCACCTGCAAGTCTGCATGCCCTTGGCAGTTTCACGGTCTGCTCTGCCCTCAAATGGCAAAAAGGGTTTCCACAGAGAATCATCTTGACACTGAAACAGTATCCTTAGGTAATCACAATTCTGATATTTCTCATTTTATTACATTATGGAATTAACCTCATCCATCTCTAAAAGCTGATGAGGAGAGACACAACGGACAGAGGAATGAAGTATTTAAAACACACTAAAATTTAATAAAGGCATTATTCATTTGTTTCCATTTAAATAGAAGACCTGCTATGTGGCCCATGCCTTATCACTTGCCTCTCCTCACTTTCCACATAACTGTTTTGACATATGCTTGCTCCTCTTCCAGTCCACCTCCAGTTCTCACATAAATATTTCTGTCAGTAGCCTCGTTGAAGGTCACTATTTTGACAGAAAATCTTGGCATTTACCTCTTTAACTTGCTCTATCAACTACCTGCCTCTCTCTCTGTGTTGATTCAAAGATACTACCACCTCTGAAGAAGCGGAAATGAAACTGCCTCTTCCTTCCCATGCGTTGGCCTCTGCTTTTATCACACCGACGCCTTGCCCGCTGGCTGAGGCTGTCACTCCCTCGTCTAATGAACTCATTTCGCACACAGGGAGAATACCATCTTATCTCCCCAGACGAGGCAGCTCTCCTCTGGGTCAAAGACACTCTCTCGCTCCCTCGTCCCTTCAGCAGTGCATTTGATGATGGCCAGGCCAAACAAATATCAAACCCAGGTTCTGGTTTCAAAGTGCTCAAATATAATGCTTGTAATTGCAATTAAAAATTCAACAAAACCTGCACTACTGTTGACACTGTTTCCAATTGACACTTGTCACTTTTGTTGTACATAATTATTGTCACTTTTATTGTACATATATCCTGCATGTAACATGTTTGCACATTTCTTCCTTTTGCACAATCTGAGTGTTCTATTCATGCCAAATGTGACATGTAAATTTCTCCTCTGTGAGATAAATAAAGCACATCTTATCTTATCTTATCTTAAAATATATATCTGAATGGTATGTTGTCTTTCTCTGCATGAAGACCTTGGCTTTGACTCCCTCTCTGAATGCAGTTTACATGTCCTTCCCTTATTCGCACCTTTTTATTTCAAATGCTCTGTTTTTCCTTAATACTTAAATCATCCCCCGGGTCCAGGACTCCCTTGATCAAGATCATTTTAGTTATTAGTGGGAGTTTTCTATTTATAAATGTAGGTAAATAAGTAATACAGTATTGGGTTAATTTGTGGAAAGAGCATTGGTTAGAGGTAGTTTGTCACTAAAATGGATAAAATAGACATACTCTCTATATCAATACATATAAAGCAAAATAATAAACTAGAAATATAATCAGGCCCATAGCAGGTGAAGGGCTTCATGAGAGCCAATAACAGATAGTCCACGATTGATTATAACTGGACACATGCTTTCAGGCAATCAGCAAGAACGCCATAAAAAGGGTCATATCTGATTATTGTGTCCCTGGGAATCTATATTGTTTCGACTCATACTCTTTTGGTCTTAGACCTTATTGTTGACATGCCAAGAATACCTCCAAAGAGCACAGTGTCAGTGCCGGATTGATACCCATCAAATGCTGTACAAGCAGTGGGTGCGATACACGGAGACTGCATGCCCCCTTTTCCACCATTATGCAAAGGCAAGGGCCATTCATCGCCGCTTGCAATACACTTTCTGCCAAATCTTAAATAAAGCATTCCTAACCATGTCTTCATTACATATAATCACCTTTGTGATCACTTGATAATGGATGCAGATTTCAAATCATATTGGATTCCCACAGGTAATTGTCTCACATGAAAGAGATTTGTGGTTGGACACCAGTTCAGCCTGTTCTGTCAGTAAAGAAACATTGGCAAGCAGGCAGCATGTACAATCTGCCCCCGGGCAGCTGTGGCACATCAGTACTTTTACATCAGTACTAATGTATGCTTTGAGGACAGCAACACGATTTTCTTCCAAACATCAATGCAGCAATAATAAAAACGATAGAACAACAGATGACAAGAGGTTAATTTAGTGGAACAGTCAAGTGACACATCTCTGTAAATGGAACAAGCTTTCAAGACATAATTGCTCCATCGTGAGAACATAGTCATTGAGTTTGCGTGCTCTCTCTCTGTGAGGAATCAGGAGGGTTTTTTTTTTCAATCATTGGAAATGTGTATTCATCCTTGAACAGTGCTCTTGCGGATGTAACGTGTAATGTGTCTGCAGACAACGCACACAGGCCCATATAGGTTCGCATTGTACTAGTTACAACATGTGAATATTGAACACCATGGTCTTGTCTCCCCCTGTTGGTCTTCTGCCGTTATCAGCCCGTGTCCTGCATTACACTGGACTTTAAACTGTTGTGGCTGAGATTCTCCACTGGAGGGACTCGAGCTCCGTGGAGCAGGGAGGTCAGGGTGTGGACCATCAAATAAATCAATAGTGTGGAGCAATGTGTTGGCCGATGTGTTTACTAACCAATGACTTATGCACTGAATTCCAAAGAGCACAAATATAATATACGTATGGTCTCAAATAATTGTGTATACAATAATTGAAAGATGCATTACAATACTACATATTATTTTCGGTCAAATTGTTACTTTGATTTATGATTTATTTATAATGAGACCTGATGTGACTGTGATGAGTGAATGAATAGCTTAAACTGAATATGTTATTATTGCAGTTGGACTACTACTCCTGATTTATACTACTACTACTACCACTACTACTACTACTACTACTGCTACCACTTCTACTACTACAACTACAACTACTGCTACTGCTACTAATACAGCTGTACCATATTTTTGGCTTTTATTTTTATTACTTTGAATCCATGAAAATATTTATTTCTCTTTCACGCCATACACAGAGTACACTACGTACCTGCTGTGTTCAAATCTCCAGATCCTTGATTACAGTAGGATTTTCTGCATAGCTGCTGCTGCACCACTAAAACCATAGAGCCGACTCATCCCCTCTTTTCTAATCCTAATCTCATTACGTCAATCTTTCTGTCCTTATACCTGTCCAGTGTCCACTACCACCTGCTCATTCTCCATTCACTTTTTCTGCATCACAATAACACCAGCTGCTCCTTTGTCATTCAAATAAATAGCCTAATATATACACAAAATTAGAAGCTCTGGTTTCTCTTTCTCACTTGGCAGATGCAATGTTAAGGATGCAGTGTGGGGTGAACATAGAACGTATGCGCAATCAATCAACCTGTCACTGCTCCTTGCTAATAATGACCACTATTTGCATTTCCCGTTCGTTTCACCTTGCATGTACTGCTGTATCTTTTTAGTTTTAGATTACCTCACCATCAAGTCCTTAACTACTGTTTATTTTATATATATAAACAATGCTTGCTAGATGTAGGTCTTAGGTGGGTCCTTCGGTGGCTAACGTGACCAGTAGATGGTGCATGAAGGGGATAGAGAGAGAGAGTATAGCAGGCAGTGACCCAGATAATGCACTGAAGTGAGCTGAAATGAGACCTGTCCTTATCAAGGGGGCACTCCTTCAGGGGCCATAGGGACATAGGACCATTTCTGGAATAGTATTGCAATGTAGTGCTTCTGAAATTGTATTGGACACACACGTTATTGCGATCCCTTTGCTGCCACAAACATTAAATCAACTTGATTTAATAGATTTGATATGATTAGATTAGTGATTATCATATACACAAAATTTAATCTATATATTGTGTTGTTATAACTATCACAAGTTAGGCAAACATGATCTCAAACAAGGTGAGTTTCTGGTAAGAATACATAAAACTTTCAAATAAATGGCGCTGGAAAAATTGCGTTGTGGCAGGAGCACTGGTGCACACTGGGGAGGCACAGTTTTTCCAATTTGATTTTACTCAAAATGGCAAAATGACCCAAAAAAACACTAAAAGATACATGTGAACACATTCATTGTACAATTTAGACTTGATTTGGCCTGACGCTGGTGGTCATCCAAATGGTTTTAGATATATAGAGAAAAATAAATACTTAAATACTAAATTTACTAAAAAAATCATTTTCAGATTGTTTCTTTCTCAAATATTGACCTTTTTGTTCACAATCCTTTCAACAGTCTTGGTTGTACATGAGACATCGAACCATAACACAGTTTTGTTTGACTATAGACCAATAATAATACAGAGATATTAAACATAAACCAGGTCACCAAATCTTAATGAAACAGAAAATTCCACCATACAAGCTCAGTCTAAAACTAATGATGCCACATGAGCACATCCTTCCCATATCCTATAACCTCATTGCACTGACCCTCTCCTGACTCCTCTCTTCCCCCAGCGCTGAGATCGCACCCCCATCCCTCATCTCCCAGGAGAGATGAAGCCGCCTGAGAAACATAAAAATGTCATGTCAAGTCTTAGATCCAAGAACACACACATACATTTTTCATGAAGGATAACCCTTGACACCTAATACAACCATGTAAGAATGCAATCTGCAAAGGTTAAGATGGTGCATTCTATAGAATTGTCTTTTGTGGAGCAGAGGTTTCTCAATGGCAAGATGTTACAGTTTTTCCGCCAACATCCCACCAAATTAATTTTATTTTTGAGCTGAACAAGCAGTCTATGTTTTCCTGTGCCCTGTTTGATTCAATGTTTTGGAGATGGAATATCACTTGTGTTATTAAAGGAACATAATGGTAATAAATAAATTCTCTAATGTGAAACGTTTTAAAGCCAAACAGTGGAAAATATATACATACTTCTTTGCTTTCATTGCAGTCTGTCAATAAAAGGATTGGCTTTTTAAACATACAATAATAATATTCCTATATTTTTATCTATGCAATAATATCCAGATGCACATCTGACCTACTCACTCTCATTATCTCCTAATAATAACAATAACAATTTAAGGTGCCAATTCAATTTTGTTTCCGCCTGTGCTGAAATTAACATGTGTTTAGTTTTGTAACCCCAATAAAGTAGAAGAAATAATGTTCTAGTTGTATTTGATTAGACAACCAACTAAAGCAGTTTGGGTGAATGCATGGATCTATTATAATAACGGGTGAATGGTGCCTGAAGCAGAGGTTTGACAGCTGGCTGCTATTACGCATGCGCAGAAAACCGGCAAGCCTTTATAATAGTGTAAAGCTAACCGGATATACCCACACCAAAAAACCGAACTATCACTAAAACATAATTGTAATGATTTAACATTTACTTAATGATTTTCAGACGAACTAGCGTGTGTTTAATTATTTTTTACTTGCTATCTTAGATGATTGAATGGCTTTAAGATTGATTGAAAGTAGGAAAATCACGCCCATTTGCACTTATTTTGTTTTATTTTGAAAGTTTTAAACCAGATGTTAGATTACTTTCTCACTAGCTTCACAATTTCGGGAGCAGCTGTGCATCAAGCAAGGAAATAAGCTCTGGAACTGGGCACATTATCTGCGGACGGACCATAACATGCTCATCCAGGGGTTCTTGTGGCTGAGGTGACCGCAGTTCGGGCCTGACCAGCGGGAAACGATGGCTCTGGTGACGGTGCAGCGGTCTCCTACCCCCAGCACTACCTCCAGCCCCTGCGTGTCTGTGAGTAAAGCTGTACTGTGAACTGGAGTGACATTTGGACCACATTTGCTTCTTTAGGTGTGTCAGTCAATGATGGAAAAGCTCTATGGAGCAAAGAAGTGGCGAAAGTCCCATTTTCAGACGGATTTGGTAATATTGGTTTCAGCGCTCATCTGTAAGTAAGCGCCAAAGGGCTTCCATCAGAAACGTGCGGATTTATTTATGAATCTGACTAATATTATCAATAGAAACTAACTACAAATTGATAATTTATCATAATAATAATGCTAACTATTAATTGATTTGCCCTGATAATGTAGTTTATTTTTTTAATTCTGCACTGATTGTACATTATAGGATGATTAGTTTATATGACCACAATATACAATATACATATACAATATACATTTGACACAATCTTTTTATGTTTAAAAGATTGCATTGATATTTACTTTGCTGTTCTTAAATATTACATTGCAATAGATTGTGTAAGCTTCGGATTCATTTCATCATTTGCTTACTTAATTATAGTTACAAGTGAATGAGGCATTCATGTAAATAGTTTCACTTGACTGGCTGTGCAGTTTCAATTGAGAATAAAATTGGTACTGAGAAAATAATTGTAAAAGATAATAATGCTGTTTGGAAGACTGTATTAGCTGACTACTGCATACCCTAATTTATACATTTGTATTTAAACAAACTCAAATAATTAATTAATTAATTTCGGTAGGAAGAAGAATTTTTGTATGCCTTTTATGACATAGGTCTGTACTTCATACAGATATAATTGTTTTACTGTTATGTTCTGCCACAGGATCTTACCAAATCAATGTTACAGCATTGATTGTAACTGAACACAAGGATGATATGCAGTTTTACTGCACAAAGCATATCCTATCACCATTTCACAGCACTCTCCATTTGATCTGAAGTCCGGTTATAACACCCGCCTGTCTATCCCCTTCACAGTTAGTATTTTAACAGTGGGTTGAGTATAGTTAAAGCAGGTTAGTGTAACAGGGATGTCAGATCATTCAGACTGTAGCTGGACTTGACCTGATCCACTTTGACGTTTTGAGGCTTGGCTGGCATCAATCATCACTGCAACTTTAGCCTTCTTTACTTTCACTGTTGGCGATTAATTGTGCATTTCAACTGTAAAGCTGGTGGGGTGAACAGATATTTCGGTTTTCATTTTTCGAATAGTGTTGTCAAAACGATATTTAAGAAATTGTAGTGTTTTCTCACTCACTGGTGGATTCCTGGATTCACTGGCCTGTAATCTGATCTGCACAGTGCTACTTATGTTACTTTGATTTTAATTTGTGACTTTGAGGTCACATGACTCTGCCAATGTAATGATGTACATAGGAAAATTCCAAGCAGATATAAAAACTTATAGTGCTTTTCTGGTGTATGTTTCAGAAAAGCAACAGAATTAGAACCACAACATTAACCATAAAACTCTATTAGAACCACTGCTAACACTGTTTCTTTCATAGCAAAGCACTACACAAGCCTGAGGAACAGTAGGTCCGTTTATGTGCTGATTTATGTACGATCACACACTGCAATTTTTCAGATCAAAGTAAACTGTCTGAGAGCAGATAAATCAGCATCACTGGGTTTATTGACAATCAGGAGTATTCACGTTACAATATAAAGTCATACAAACTAAAATATGCATTCATAGTATTTTTGGAGACATTTCAATGTAATCTATGCTCCAGATATAAAGTATCATTTTTTTATCTGGATGTTTTGTCCGTTTCCAAATGTTGGTTTTCTTTAGGGTGATCACATTGAGCCAAGGGGATCCAACACAGAGAATTTCATGTTAACTTGTTTAGGCATAGTGTATATTGATTGAATCAGTGCATTCATCAATTTCTCTTATCAATATAACTAATTTGTTTCACGTTTAGTGTTTTTTGCTGTTAGGCGAAGTGGAGCCAGGCTGCGGTTACCAGCTGCTTGTCATAAGACCATGAGAAGAGAGACAGCCATGTGAGCTGTCTGCTACTGACGCAGCTATAAACCAGCTAATAATACGTCCACTTGCTTTTGATAGAGTATGATTATAAGTATCATGCTTAATCCATACACTTTCACATTGCTTTCTCCCAAGGGGGTGATCACAAGTTAGAAAGTAGAGCAAAGTAAAGCATGTTGTCTGGAATAGTTTCTGCAAGTTACAAAACAAGAAAATTATGCACAATAAAAGCAAACTCAGAAGCAACTTGAAATTTCTAGTTTTTGTATTAACTTTTTGTACATTACTCAAACCCCAACGAAAAGGTTTAGCACATTTCCCATTGCTTATTATTGCAGTACTATTTAAATATCATAGTTAAAGTAACACAATCCATCTAGACCAATGTATCACCCACCTCGCTACTAAACCTGTTATCAACAACCCGAGTATAACCGCCACCACAAATAATACATTTCAAATATGTTTATTGATGGCTGCGGGACAAAGCTTGACTAAGTCTGGTTGAGACTCCAGGCTGCAAGGCAGAGGAGAGAGGTTTGGAGTCAAAAGCGCATAAATAAACATGACACTGAAAAGCTAGAATAATAATATGAGGCAAGGTGTGGTCGGCTCAAGAGGATTGACTTTACTTTCCAATAAACTGGGCCAAACTTTGATTTAGTAGAATGAATCATTTAAGTGCCAGAAAAATGATTAAATATGACTCTTCCCTTTCAACATGTTATCAGTTCTACAACACTGCTCTCCATTCAGTACATTTTATATCCTTTTACAACATTTGTGACTTTATCAGGCGTCAGTCAATCCCGAAAAAACACAATTAAAAAGATTATATCATTATATTAATTACATTTATTTTTTTGTAGCACTAAATCACAGCAGCAGTCCTCTCAGGGGACTTAACAATGTTGTAGATTCCTCAACAATAAATCAGAGAATTAAACCGTTTGAACAATAATGTCATATTAAATGCAATAAATACATGAAATATCACATCATACGCACTTTGACATTTCATAACCATTAACCCCAATAAAAATAATGTTTTATTACATGAGGAGAGACCATTGTTGATGATCAATTAATCAAATATACTAGGATTATTCCACTGATTTGAGTACCAAAATGCTTTAGTGATTCGTAAATACCGTGATTGCCTTTTGTCCCGGGTTACAGTATGTACTCGTTTTACTTAGAAAATCTGGAGGCTTATTCTTCCCCTGCAGGTCAAGTAATTTAAGTTATAGCTGTATAAAGTCAAAGCCATTTAATATGGAAATTACACGATGACTGCAGGTTGACTGTAAACCACCAGATTTGACCTTTTGAAAATTAAACACAAATCAATGAAGGAATTAACCCGTCCTTGTTAGACTCTGCTCCAGCCTGTGAACCCTGAAAACCTTCATCAACGTTCTGCCAAATAATTAAAAGGCATTTTGGGATTTGGAATCATCGCTGACATGAGCCGCGGGGATGATGGCCTTTACAGCGGTACGTTAATCTGCGTAGCTGCTTATAAATCCGGCTCTCTGATTGGCTAAAAGACTAGTGCCCCCCTATACTATATGTAACCATGGAGACCAGCCTGTGTACTATTTTATAAAGACCTGTCAATCATTGTGCCTTTTTAGAAATGTTAGTGCGTAGTTATTTGCTTGCACTCATACTTTCATATCGTGTTGGAATGTGTTTTTGTTAATTGTCTAGTTTTTTTGGTGAAATTTGTCAGTGAGTGAAGATTTCTTAAATTAACAAAACATTATCATAAGATTATTCCATACTTTTATATGTAGAAAAGTTAGCCTCTTCCAAGTTTAAAGGAATTTGCCATTTGAAATCTGCTGATGGCGTGGACTGGATCTTATCTCAAACAAGAGAAGATTCCTGTTGTTTCAGCTGTATTTGATGATCATGTCTCTCTGTGTGAAGCTCAATGAACTGCACTTCTCGTATGAACGCATTTCTATGATCACTTCTTCAGGAATTAGTGACAGACAACCATGATGTAATTATATTCAAATGTAGCTAATGACTTGCCTTATTTATTATCTATATCCAAAGTATATAATTATAATGAATGTGTCAGCTAATCTGCTTCCTCAAACATGTTAGCCTTTAGGCAGGGAAAAAACATTCAAGAAGACGACACCATATACGTTAGTTGTTTATTGACGTTAAACATTCGAAGCGTCACATGACAACAACACAACGTTACAAAGAAAATAGAGACTTGTGTTTTCTACTTTTCTTATGGTAAAAAGTTACTGCTCATAAAATCCAAGAAATTCAGTAATATGTGACTCCTTGTTGTCATTGACAATTATTTTTGTTAAAAACTATTGTGAGGAAAGACATAACTATTTACTGATCATTCATGATTATCTACTCAATGCTTTACCGGGACGTTCCAACTGTCTAAATATGTGGTTCCCAACAAGGTGCCTACTAGCATTTGGCCCCCCAAAATTCGAGAGGAAAAGTGTGAATTGACTTAAAGGATTTATCATGCTTATTTGTGCAACTCAACAACCCAGCAAAGCACATGACCTCGGGCCGGTACTAAGGACTCATTTTGGCTTGCCAAATGTACATTGTATTACTGTACATTTTCAGACAAAGACCCCCCAAAAAAACTCTAACCTGACTCTCTCATTAACATTGAGAATAGCAATCTTTTGAAGCAAAACATGTTGAATGTGAATTGCTGTCCAGATAGAGCAACGGATTCACTAAACAGAAACTCCACCTCCAGTATATAACCCCCCACCACCAATTTGAGAGCTGATGGTCATGTGCACTTTATGAAATAAGAACAGGGAGTGAATGTGACAGCACTTGACAGTTAGGTTGACATCTGGTGGTAAAATTTAATTGACTTGAATTGAACATTTATTTTGACCTGAAATATTGTGATCATCAATTAACCAAATTTGTATTGGGTTCAAGCCAGACGTAATTGGAGCAATGATATCTTGAAAAATAGAGTCTTTTGATATTGAATAAAATGTCTTCTACTGGTAATTTTGACATGCCGGTCTTCGGTTATGTATTTCTGGTGTCAGTT